GTCCAGTGTAGGTAGGTCCATACTCCCCAGATCTCCTCTGCCGTGTCCCTTCTCATGCAGACTTATTGGCCAGTCCAAGAACCCTAGCAGGAGGTTGCTGGGTGGTGGGGTGGATCTGGCTCCTTGTGCTGAGGTGCAGCTGCAGTGGATTTGGGCTGGACCACAGCCCTCCCCATGACTTCCTTCCCTGTTAGTCCAGTCACATCGCTTTCATCCCCCAGACCTCTTGCCCTCCTCTAGCAGTCTGGTACCACCTAGTTCCCAGTCAGTGCAAATGTATGATACAATCTTTGTATTCCTTCGAGGTGGAACATTTTTCTCCCACATAACTTGGGCTCGACTGTCCACAGGGATCAGTAATGTGCTGTTCCCCTCCTCCACCACTGCTCGAGCACCCACCTTGCCATGCTTTTCCACTAGCTCTCCCTTACTGCTGGGGATGTGGAATGAGGAGTTGACTTCAGATGCTGGTTAGTGGGGCAGAACTGCACTGGTCTGGCAGTGTTGGATCTGGCCAGCCCTGACCGAGGTCAGTGAAGTTGCTGCAGGATGAAAACAGTGCCCCATGTACTGGGGCAAGAGAAAGAATCTCCACTCTCTCCCCACACAGGTTTTGCTGATGAGCACAACTTTCCTCCTTGGCTCTAGGCTAAGGCAGGCAATGCCCTTCTGAGTGTGTGGCTCAGTATTACAAGGTGACTTGTCAACCCTTAGAGGTTAGAAGTGATTTCCTTCCAAGAACTGGGACTGTGGCCACAGGCTGGATTTGATTTCAGTCAGTTTGTAGGCTGTGTTCTGTCAGCTTTTGCAGCTGCTTGGCTCTTCATTTGTCACATGTTAACATAGTGCTTATCATCTTGTATGCCCTTCAGAACTTACTTATGGTGCTGGAACCTCACAGCACATCTCTGAGGCTACCGGGACTCCTGATCAACTCATCCACCTTTCACTGCATTGCTTACAGTAGAGGCAGCTGAGGCACAGGAAGGCTGGAAGACCTGAGATCACACTCAAGAGTGCTAGAGCCTGTCCTGCATGCTTTTTCCATAGTGATATTGCTGTTATTGTTACCAGCATTATACTGTTTTATTAGGAAGACCCATTACACTAGCACAATGGAGCTGTGGATGTTGTTACAGTATGACTACACCACTGTAGTTAGAGGGGTAACAGCTTAGATTACCAGCCTGGAATATCTACAGATGTGGCTCATAGTCACAAGGCAGGGCTGTCCTCAGCCTGTGCAGTGTTGGCATCTGAAGCATTGGTGGTAGAGCCTCGGAGAAGCCGTTAAGCACAGACAACAACATCCTCCATAGGAGAGCCAGGACCTGCCTGACACACAGGCAAGGTGCAGTCAGGGTTTGCAAGCTGCAAGGCTTGCATATGCTCATGCACAAAATCATTTCTCATCAACACTGCAGTAATACCCACAAAGACTATGATACATACTGGGTTTCTGTGAGCATAGTCATGTAGGTGGCTGCCACACAGCATGGTTTGCATTCCTCTGATTAAAACCATTAATAAACAAAAATTACTAGTTTGAGTCATGCAGAGACCGGAAATTAGAATGAAGGGTGAACAAGTTTGTGCCACTACCACAAAGGTACTCTGAGGAATGTTAAAGTAGGTTTATTCTAGTAATTATTGTGAGATACTTGGATGGAAACTGAGAGACACATGGTTTCTTACATCATTGATGTAATCCACTTGCAAGATTGCACTGTGGGAGGAAGCTGATCTCTGTGGGTTTTTTCTATCGATTTCTATCATAAGCAGAGTTGTATAGCCTAGATCACATCTTGAAAGTCAGTGGAATCTTTGTTCAGATGGGTTGGGATTTTTTACAGAATTGTGTTCTTTGCTACACATACAAGCTTTTTGTTGAATAATCTGATTTAGTTTTTTACTTATCTTTGATTATTTCTAGTCTCATGATCAAAGGATTCCTGTAATTCTAAGTAACAATTTATGTATGAGTAAAGGGTTATGTACCTGTCCTGTGTAAAATATCAGTAAAATGTAAATAAACTATTTAGCTACCAAGCCTCACTGGAGATTAAATGGTGGGGCAAACTTGAATTTAAGGTAGATCACTAATCAAAAAAAGGTGTGATTATCTGTTAAAGTCTGGATTAATAAGAGCACAGTTGGAAAAATGAAAACAGTATTTCCAACTATATGGCTAAGTGTATAGACAGCAAGCTCTATGGTCTTAACACAGAATTACATTAGAACCAGCTTCAGAACCAACAAAGGACACCAGGAGAAGTTAATTTTGCATCAAGGGGAAGTAAAATATTGAGGGTATCAACTTAGGCAGAAGGAAGGTGGAAAAAATCTGTGCCTGCCTGCAGTCAGTCAGTTCACCTTAAACATGAAAGTCCTTGAGCTTAAATAGGATGGTATTTAAGACAAAGACAACATATTGCCATCTTAGAAGTTCAGCCTTGTGCCTTTGTCCAGTGCTCAGCAGTATCTCCTGCATGTGAAGATGCAGTGGATTTTTCAACTGCTCTGAGCTGCCTTTTATCGCCTTGGTGGTCCACGCTGTTGTACTGAGATCTGTCCTGGTTCTGGTTGCTCACAGATCTTTTACAAACAGTCCAGGCATTGCTGGATATTTGACACCTGACCTGTGGCTGTTACAGTTCTGGGGAATGCAGCTTTTCAAGATTATCCGTGGGTGTGCACACAGACATACACTTCAGTCATTGAATTGATGGGTGCAATAAAATGTGTTGCTGGGCTTAAATGTGGATCTTATTTACGGACTTTTTGCTGGAGCAAAAATTAGTATTGTTCATTCTTCTGTAAAATCGTAAGAGGGGGATAATTATAACTGCTTGGGTTTTTTTCAATACTAATTTGTTTTTAAAAATGGCTCATCCCAGTGGCCACTGACAAGTACAGTCTGTGTCTGCTAATAGTTCTATTTTCTTTAGATCTGCTTTCCTAAAGGTTTTAGGTTCAGCATGTTCAGCTTGATTTGAATTACTGTCAGACCAACATTTTACAAATACCTTGCTTTTCTGAGAGAGACTGTACAACATGCTGGCTGAGAGGGTGTCACGATCCGTGACCTATTATGTCTCCTTATTGGAGTGTATTAACTTATCAGGATTTGCTGAGAGATCCACACGTGGGTATCGCCTCACACAGAGGATACAGGAACTTATGTCCTGACTTTTTTGAGTGAATAACTCGCTCAGTGCTTACTAAATTTCTAACAACAGCAAGGTTTATTGTGGGGAAAACAAAGCAATTTGGGGCAGGAGGTTCAAAAGGAGTGATTACAACACATTAAACATATATGGGTACACCTTAGTTACACATCTTATTCACGTGAGGGAAGCAGAGGGGAGGGATTTGCCCGAATGGCTGGATTATATTTTCCCCTATAAGCTGGGGTAGCCGGAATTGTCTCACCATGGCAGTGCAGGTTCGATGAGCTGGGTAGCAAAGAGGCTGCGGGCACTCCAAGCGCAGGTCGCCCCCCCCCCCCACAAAGCGGCGGCAGTCGGTGCGCGGCTCCGGGACCGTAGGTGTGCAGACGCTGGAAACGCGGCGGTTTCAGCGGCGCTGGGACTTTTGGCAGCAGCGGCGGCGGGCAGGCAAGC